CAATAAGGGTGTCTGTATCAAAAAACTGAGCAAGTGGAATGACAACAGCATAAGTAGTGCAAGATCAGAATTCTAAAGTTTAATAAAGGGGTCTGTCTCAATAAATTGAACAAGTGGAATATGTTGGAAATGCTCTAAGACAACAAGAGAATCCTTATTCTAATACTTACAATCCTTGATGGAGGAATCACCCTAATTTTTCATGGGGCAACCAAAATAATCAAAGACAAGTTACTCTACCAGCTCAGCCACCCAATGAACGAAGGCTAAACATGGAAAATATGCTCACCAAATTCATGACAGCAGCGGACACTAGGCTACAAAGAAATGAAGCCTCCATCAAGAGTCTAGAGAACCAAATTGGGCAATTAGCAAAGTTGATTTTTGAGCATGCCTAAGGAACTTTGCCAAGCAACATAAAGACCTGCCTAAGAAAGCATGTGAATGCTATAACATTGAGGAGTTGAAAACAATTAGTGGAAGTGGAACCAAGGAATAGAACACAAGCAGATGAGAGCAACCTAAATAAGGAAAAAGATAAAACAAAAAAAGGAAAGAGATCAAGAGAATGAGCTGCCCAATCGAGGAGGAGAACACTCTAACATTCCATATCCGGGGAGATTGAAGCAACAATAATTGGATAAGCAATTTGGTAAATTTTTTGATATTTTTAAATAATTGCATATTAACATTTCTTTGGTTGAATCTTTAAAACAGATGCTTAGTTATGAAAAGTTCCTAAAGGAGATTCTCTCCAACAAGAGGAAGTTGGAAGACATGGCCATGGTGATGCTTAATGAAGAATGCTCAATTATCATACAAAATAAGATGCCATAAAAGTTGAAAGATCCATGTAAGTTTATTAGTCCATGTTAGGTGATCTTTTAATTGAAAACGCATTATATGATTTAGGAGCTAGCATTAATTTGATGCCATATGATATTTACAAGAAGGTAGGATTGGGAAAACCTAAGCCTATTAGGATTACTTTGCAACTAACATATAGGTTTATCAAAATTTTAGTTATAATAATAGAAAATGTGTTAGTTAAGGTTGATAAGTTTATATTTACAGTAGACCTTGTGATCTTAGATATGAAAGAGGACTCTGAGATACAATTATCCTAGGAATACCATTTTTAGCAACTGCTTTAATTGATGTTCATAATGGTAAAATGACTCTTAAGGTATTTGATGAGGAAATTACTTTTTATATATATGAATCCATAAAATATGCACATACTTCATATGATACTTATTTCATGATTGATACACTTGATCCGGTTATGCAAGGTGTTTTCCAGAAAAATTACTTTAAAGATGCATTGGAACAAGGTATCATGAATAGAGAAAGGAGTAACATGAAGAATGAAGAAGTTAAGGAGCAAGTAGTTTTGCTAGAAGCGAGACCTCAATTTAATGCACCAAAAAACTTTAGATTTGAGGAGATTCGTAGCTTTAGTGAAGAAAAAGACAAATCATCAACTAAGGAGCCACCAAAGTTGGAGTTGAAACCGCTGCCCTCACACTTAGAGTATGCATTCTTAGAGGAGAATTCCAGGTTACCAATGATTATTTCTTCAAATTTATCAAACTTGGAAAAGGAGAAACTATTGAGGGTATTAAGAGATCACAAAGTTGCCATAGCATGGAAGATTGCTGACATAAAAAGGATAAGCCCATCTTTTTGCACTCATAAAATTCTAATGAAGGATGGACACAAGACTTGTGTGCAGCCCCAAAGGAAGTTGAATCCCAAGATGAAAGAGGTGGTAAAAGTAGAGGTGATCAAGCTTCTTGATGCTGGAA